ATAATGTATGCAGGCAATATGCAAAGGGTTTCAATGTTTATTTATGAAATAATGCAACGACAATTAGGACAATTAAATATTTATTTTTACACTTGGCTTGCACCGAACGAAACTTGTTCAAAATTTGTTTGTTTAAATTCTCAAATGTCTGTCATTGAGTGCTACCTGTTGTTGTTGTTGTTGCTGCTGTTGTTGTTGCTCTTATTGTTCACATTGTTGTTGCTGGTGTTGATTTAACAAGTGCATTTGCACCGCAACAACAACTTGTTCAAATTTTCGCTTTTGGTTTTGTTAAACAAACTAACAGCAGCAGCAACAACAACAGCAACAACAACAACTAACAAACTACTAAAAGTGCTGCCACAGAGCCTGGCACTTTGTCAACTTCATGCAATGCCAAATTGGTAAGCCAACAACAGCAAAGTGCAAAGTGAACAACAATAACAAATATAAATATAAATATAAATTAAATAAATACAAACCGCAAAAATTAATTAGCATGCTAACAAAATAAACTAATAACTAACGTATATTATTTAATCACAAAATATGTATATGCATTAATTTAGTTTGTTATAGTTTTTATAAATTGAAATGAATTTTTGGCACTGGGCAATATGGGTATTATTTAATATTGTCATAGAATCTAGTTAGAAAATTACCTCTCTATTATTTTTTAGTCTTTTTGTGTCCACTTTTATGGGTAAATAATTATTTTTGTAGTTTAAATTTTATTCTAATTACAAAGCAAATATTTAAAATAAAGATGTGTTCAGACTCTTGTCAAATACTTTTGTCATGTCTGAATAAAGTTAAATAATAAATATAAATAATTTAGGTCTGAGGTTTTGGAGCAAAATATAGAAATTCTTCATAATTACCAATATAATAAGTTTATGAACAATTGGTCTTTACACTTACCCAGAGATAAATACATTCAATAACTCTAACAGACACTGAAATGAAAGAAAAAAATTGATATTTATCATAAATAAAATAAATATATATTTAAAAAATAATGTTTGAATATATTTATACGTTTTTTGATTTTTTATTAGTTTACTTTATAAACTTGTATAACTTGTATAAAAGGGGAGTGGCAGTATATATATTTTTGATCAGGGCGAAAATTTGAGCCAATTTAAACCTCTCGAGTAAAACTCTCTGGTTTTATATAATTAATAATATATATTAAGTAGCTTTTCAAAGTTGAATAACTAACAATATTTTATCCGCAGCAATTATAATAATTAAAAGCATTTCATTTACCCAGAATAAAAGAAAAACTTTACATATGAAAATATGCGCAGACAAAAATCGCAAAATAATAAATCTCTACCGCGAATTAAATAATACAACTCCATAATAAAAATGCAAATAGCTAAGCTCAAATTTAGCAGCAAAAAATTATTTTTATGCAAATTCTTTATAGTGAATTATTAAATTTAATTCATTTCAACTTTGATTTGGTGTGCGTAAAAAAAAATAAATAAATTATTTAATTATTTATGCCTTGACTACTTTTTTCCATGGAGGTTATAGTAGAAGCTATTTAATCCTTGCCTAATAATGTTTTTGGTTTATAAAATTGACCACTTTGATGTGTTTTAAGAAGGTCATTAAAAATTTCCAATTGGAAAATAATTTGTCGTATTTTATAGTTCTATAAAATAAGTTTGATATTTCATTTGCGTAACTAAGTTTGATTTTATTTATTTATATATATTTTGTATGCTTATATTATTATAAAATATAAATATTTGTTATATTTAAATATTATATTAATTATAATTTTTTTATTGCCTTTTCCATCATTGTTAAAAAATGTTTAATATTAAATTTTTGCAGACGCGATTCCAACACATACATGCGCACACATGTTCGACCTAGCTTGATAAATACTCTTTTGCCACCACAAATCATTTCCTGAAATACTCTGAAACATTTGGCCGCTCGTTCTTTCGACAGTGCTTTATGTGTTATTAAAACCGTTTTTAATTGAAAATTAATTGAAATATCAATTGCAATGGCATTAAAATGTGTCTGACTGAATCTGAAGCTACGCACACTGAGAGGGAGAGAGAGAGAGACAGACAGGCTTGATTTCCATTATAATAATACTGTGACATTTTGTGCATTTACAATTTATTATTATGCCATTTCATGTGGCATTTCTGCGTCTGTGTGAGTGTGTGCTTGATAATTTGTTATGCAATAATATGTATAAAAAAAAATGCATTTTGATGCCATGTCAATTTGTTTGTTCTACGAGTGCACACTGTACAGTCGAGCCGATAACTGAAAAACAATTAATCCAATGCGACGATCATCGAGTGGCTCTATAAATTAGCCAAGCCAAACGATTTAATTGAATTAAGTCCATTTACAAATCTGAATTATACTCGCATTAAAATGCACGAAGTACGTCAAGTGTTTTGGCGTGCAGTCAATATTTATGCTCATTAAGCAAACGAGCCTCCCCCTTCATAATCTATTCACAAATGACAAATTAATAATTAGTGTAAAGGCGATTGAGACGGAAAGAGAATGAGGCGAATATAAATGTTGTCTATAATATTCATATATGTAAAGACATACTGATGTGCCTTGGTAAGATATATAGGTAGATATATGTATATGCAAGAGCCTAGCTACAAGAAGCGTCTTTGTGAATTCATCCGTCTTTCTACTAATCCCAACATATTTATTCTAGCTTACTAAAAAATCCGGGAAAATCGAATAAAAAGTGTAGATAAATCAAGTCGCTTATGCAAATGTAAGCCATTTTCAATGTGCCCATTGTTGGTCTGAGTTATGGTCTCTAAGCGACAGATGCCTGCAGTGGCTTTGTGCTGAACTGACTCGAAGTTATTATTTGAAATGCTCACTTTGTTCCTTTAAATATAATCACAATCACACAATAGCTCAGCGGATTTGCATCTATAGTTGGGGCTGAACAGCCATTGTGCCCAGGAAATGAAGTTTGTAACTTCATTTGCGAGACAATCTTAATTAACACCTGCTTTCAAGACTAATTTGTATTACACCTCTTGTTAACATTTTTAAACAATTTTTAGAGTTTTTGTTCATGTCGCTTTAATCTTAATATTATTTTAATTTAATTCTAATATTCCATTGCTGATAAGATATGACAGCAACACAACTGCGTTCAGTTACTTTTCATTTAGTTTAATTTCCCTGAAGCTTAAAGTCAACCTCAATCGATGGAAATGCATTCAGCAGCAACAGTTATGTTAAAGAAGAAGCAATAGTGCTTAAGCGGAAATTGTTGGAGCCATTTAGGTATTTCACAGCAGGTGAGCGTTTGTCGAACGGCCCCCCATCGAGCTACCGATTGCGCATTCGCATACTTTTACTGCTGAAAATGGCAACAAGGTGAAGTACCAGATGACTGAGGCAAACAGAAATCAAATTTAAGGTGCTTAAAATAAAACTAAAATTGTTGTAAAATGCTAACTACATATATTAAAGTATTTGTCGATGCAATTGCTTGTAGCTTGTTTAAAGTGCATTATGGAGGGCTATAATTTATATATTTGAGCATTATATTCTAATATAATTAAAATTAAAATTAAAGTAAGTCAAAAAATTTAAGTAAATAAGAGAATATAAAAGAATATAAAATTAAAATTTATTTTTAATAAATATAATTTATCTATTATCTATTAGAATCGAAAGAGAATTAAATAATTAAAAATATTCCAAGATTATAATAATATTAGTAACAATAATAATATTACAATAATAATTTATATTAAAAATAATTAATATTAAAATAATTTTCCATAGAAATAATATTTTAGAAAACTTGATAAGAATTACATAACAGCATCATTATATTTTCTTTATGTAGCTATACAAACTGAGTAGCGTTATAAATAAAGTATTTAAAATAAAGGCAATTATTGTATAAACTTATCAAATCCTTTCAATTAAAATTCTCAACATATGTTTATATATAGTCTAAAAGTCTTGCGCTCGCACTTATCTAGCTTCTATTCTGTCATCACTAAAATTTTTAATAATATTTCACAATTATAAATGTTTTGTGTAATTTACAATACAAATATCTTCACTTGCATAGAGCCTGCTTCCTTCCAGGCTAAAGAGCTAAGATCTGGCCAAAAATCGTCAATCATTAGTCAGCCTCTGTCTCACTCTGAATTGAAAGTGGCAAGACAATTGCTGGGACTTCTTCTGCCAATTACGAGCCTATTGTGTTTAGCAGTTGACAAACGAAAAGAAAAGAGGGAAGAAGAAGATGTGTGAATAGTCGGCTTTAACTTCCCGCTCGGCTGACGCTTGGCTAATGGCAATTTTAATGCGCACTTCCGCCGGAAGTCAAAACGTCGCCGTCAGCGCCTCAGCGGGTTGGCAGGACCCAGTTTTGGTAGCTGAAACAGTTTCAACTCAGCTCAGCTCAGTCAGTCAGCCAGCCACGTACACACTCGGAGGCAGTTCGGCGCTAAAAAGACAAATGACAAACACATTTGCACACTATTACAACTGGAGCGAGAGTGCGCGCGTGTTGTGCTGCTTTCTCTTTCGTCAGCCAGCGGCGCTTCTCACTCTCACTCTCACTCACTCGCAGACTCACTCTCGCTGTGTGTGCGTGTGTGTGGAGTCGCAACAGGCGGTCATGGCACTGACACATAGATAACTGTCGCTCTATTTTATACACACTACTTACATGGCAGATAAACACGCATGTAAATGTGCCCACAATGCGAGCGAGCGAGCTAGTGGGAGGCAGAGACAAAGGACACCAGAGGCTGGCATTAAAATAATGTTAAATTGCTTGTAGTATTTGCTCCTGCTGTCTGCTGTCGGCTCCTGCTCCTGCTGGCTGCTGCCGATTGCCTTTCCTGTTCGCCTTTGTTTGCTGGCATCTCATTGTAGTTGTCCTTCCGCATGTCCTGCCTGCCTTTTGTTGTTCCTCTTCTCGCTTCTCTCCATTTTTTTTTTTTTTTTTTTTTTTGGTTATTTGTCTTCTCTTTTGCAGTTTTTCGTTGCGTGGCGTCGTAATTCATTGTCCCCGCCTCCATTAAAGCCGTCCGTCTGCATATTTTATTTGTTGTTGTATTTAAATGTGCTTAAAATGTGGTTAAATGTGTTGGCGAAAGTCCTCACCGTGCTCTGGTCGCATTTCCGTTTCCGTTACCCACATTGCCAACCGACTGAAGTTGATTTTTAAGTTGCAATTTCTGTGGCCACGTCCTCGAACTGTTATCCCCCGCACCCCATGCAATGAGACTTGCAAATTAGTTTAGATTTGTATCCGAAAAGCCAGTTGAATTTTTGTGGTTCTTCTTTGTGTTTACATTAAGTTCATTTTTCTTTTTTTTTTTTATTGAATGCTCTGAGCACATTCGGGGTATAGTGATTTTGGGAATTTGTCTGTAACAGATGGAAGGGAAGGCATATCAAACGGAGTAGCTCTAGATTTAGATCTAGGTCTTCTCTTGCACAAACGCTATAGGTTTGAAGTATATTCTTCCATAACTTATACAATCCTGTTTATTATTCATATTTTGTTGATAGCTCATGACGTTTCACTGTTATCGATAATAATCGATAGTAGCTCTTGGAGATATCAAAATAAATATGGAGATTCATATGATAATTTCAGAGGTTGTTAATATTTCGGATTTTTGATATCCTTTCTTTTGGCTTTACTTTATCAAAAGGTATAGCAACTAACAGAACTATATACATGTGTGCAACACTCAGGGCATTTCATAGTCGGGCATTTCTCACTAAAGCTTTCTTGGCAGTTTTTATTTATTTATTTTCTTTCTTTTTTTTTGTGATTTTTTGACTAGCATTTAAATGCTAATTGGATTTGGTTTTATATCTCTAAATAAATCTCTTGCATCAACTAGTAGTATCAATCAGAAGGAGAACAAAGCAGGAGAGGGATTTAAAGAAAGACACAGTGAAAAGGATATGTATTGAAAAGGGATAACAAAATTGCACTGAACATAAGATTTAAATGTAGTTAGAAGAGCTTGCAAAGCAGAGAAAATATATTTATTTTATTTTATTTTTTTTTACAATTATTTATTTTGTCAGTTGGGGTTTGTTCAGATATTCTGTTTATAAGTTACAGGCTTTAAAATCTAGCTTTCAGCTGAAGAAGGTTTATCTACAGCTTTATTATAATTTCCAGGCTGTCAAATGTAAACTCGTTAAGCAATTAGCAACAGCAAACACATTTAAAAAAATTTGATTTCTACATCAGTTTGCCAAGTATTGTATTTAAGCATTTCCGTTCACGTAAAAAAAGGAAATAAATAAAGATGTTATTTAAAATGAATTCAATTTTTAAAAATGCATCATACTCGCACAGTTATTGGGGTGCAAAATAATACAAAGCGCGTGGCGCGCTCCGGTTTCCCAAGCGGGCAGCTCAAGTATTTGCGAAAACCGCAGAAAAGTGATTGCGACTGCTAGTGATTGCGCCAGCGAATGCACTCCACTGAATATGCATGAGTAATTAATTTAATTAATTTGTTCATAATTAATGCCAACGGCAAAATTGCAAAACTGTTGCAACAGCGTCAAAGATGGCCAGCAAAATGCTTTTGTTATTTATGAAAATGTCGTAAATTTTCTGCATATTTTTTTTTTTTTTTTTCATTTCGTTATTGTTGTCTTTGCTATTGTATATATGTATTTATATATATTTATTTCCTTTTTTTCTGCCACTGACTGAGCCCCTGTCATATTCATATTGCAACGATGATGCGACTTTTTGCAAGCTATTTGTTAAATATGTCAGTTTTAATATGCCACACGCATTTTCACTTATTAAGTGCGCTTCATTCGATGACAAAATAATAATAAAAAACACACAAGTAAAAAACGAGGAAGGCATAGATGAAAAAATGAACTAAAAGTTTAATGCAATGCATTGTGCAATGATGCGTATGCGTGATTTTTAATCAACCCGCCGCCCAGTCGATAGCTTTAATAGATCAACTGGCCGCCGTTCTGCCGACCCCCGTTTATTTATTTCTACATATACATATACCTATTTATATACATATATTTCCATATATAAATATATTTCATTTCATTTTATTACAAAAATGATAATATAATACAGTGGCCTTGAATTTAACAAAGGTAAAAATGAAATAAAACAAAACAAAAAACATGCCTGGAAATCATGCAAGAAAAAATTAAATGGAACAATGGCTAACAATAAGTAGATTCGATAGGAAGTTGGAAATGAAAGCCGAGCTAAATAAATAAGGGCTTAAATAAAAAATACTATATACAATTTATGTCAGTTAATCAATCCGGAAAAAACATAGAATGATAATGAAAACTATAAAAACATAAAGAATCATTATAATTGAATACAATTTTTTATTATTATTTATTTATTGGAATTAAATAATACAAAGTGTATAATAAAAGTGAAGATTAAATATTTTATGAAAATCAAATACAAATTAATTTATGGAAATTTAATAATAATAGTAATAAACACATTTTTAAATATTCATAAGCCTTTATAATTTTAAAAATATATGTACAACACGACATTATTGAAGTTATAAATAAATATTACAGTCATAATTCACTAAAAAATAATGAAAACAAAATTAGGTATTAATGAAATGAAATTAAAAATAAAACTGAAAAGAATTGAATTCATGAATCTTGACAATTCCGAATTACAGAAAAAGGTAAAAATCCCAAATATATATATACAATAATTATAATATGATTAAATATTTATAAACAAATAAATACGAAAATTCTAAAAATGATCATAGAGATTATACATATCTTACGTACAATTAAAATATAATAAATAAAATAATAAAAAACAAATAAAAATAATAAAAAATAACTAATTAAGTAGTCAATAATTTTAAAGACTCGCATGTGTTTAAAAATGAGTTTCGAATATAAGGCTTGTGACACAGTGCATAAAATAATTACAAATTATATACACAATATAATGGATTGTCAAATATGCTTGATATGCTGCAGTTGAACGGCTGCAGGCTGACTGCCTGGCCTGGCCGGACTGCCTACACACACACACACATCCATACATTTATATGTTTATATAGACAGACATGCGTTTACATTGGAAACGTGTTGGTTGCCGTGTGCAATGGGGCGTATGAGCGATTTGTCTATATACGCATTTTAAGTGCTTTATGGTTAATGCCACTTATGGTTAGCACATTGACAAACCCAACCAAACAGCAGCTAGCCACAAATTTATGCAAATTTACGTTTGGCCCTGGAGCAGGGGCCACTCCAGTGACCGGCAAATACTTTAAGCCCTCCGAGCCCAGCGAACTGTGCTGCAATCAGAGTCTCCGATACTGGCAAAAACTAATTAAAATTACAAATCCACAAATTATTTTCATATTCTCTTCATTGACTTTGCCAAATGGCAAAATTATGCAGGCTTAAAAATTAATAGCACATAATGCGGCACAAAATACAGCAAACAGAATTCCACACACACACACACACACGCATGCAGTATGCAATCAAAGAAGGACTAAGCTGAAAAGGAATAGAAAGGGAAGCAGAGACAGATTGAGTGCCTGTGTCTGTGTGTGTAAGTGTGAGTGAGATGAGCAATTGTGGGCCATTAAATAATTGCACATGTATCAATTGGCATGCTTACTCAATTTACAGACAAACAATTTGAGCTGTAAAGAGCAACGGCTTGATAAAAATCTATTGCATACTAATAGGCACTTCAATTCAATTCGCTCACTTAGACAGCCTCACATGGGAGAGTGTGCGTGTGCGTGTGCGTGTGTGCTGCAGTGCACTTTACAATGACCCATAATAAAGTTTGTTTGCCGCTCTGTGTCTGCCAATTTGCCCATTTTGTGTTTACTCAACGCGCCAGAGCAAACAAAACGATGCCAAAAGAGCGCTTGACAAATGCTGAGAGAAGCAGAGCGAGTGAGACAGATAGATAAAGAGAGAGAGCGAGAGAGAGAGAGAGAACGACAGAGAGAGAGAGTGCTCACCTTTCGTCAAGTTAACATTGTGGGCATACGTTATGCTTTTACCTGGCATTATTTCCGCTATAACGGCAGCACCCGCATCTGCTTCGTGCCTCGTGCTTCCCTGTTGCATGTTATTTGGCGCATGTTTGATTCTCCACAACAACAGCAGTATCAACAGCAACAGCAGAGAGCGCTCTCTTAAAGTGAGCATCGCTGCTCTCTTAAGCCTTCGGCATGCACATGGGCAGCACTGTTTGCTTGCTTTTAGTATTTTTTTTTTTATTTTATTTTATTTTTTTTTGGTATTTTCTATAGATATTAAGAGCATTGAAGCTTAGGTTTCAGTGAGTGAATTTATGTCTTTAGTAATTATATGTATTTAAAAATATTAAATAAAAATATTAAAAAAATATGATTATAAAAAGTTAATATACATATATATTAAATACTTTTTTATTTAATGCAGTAATCAGAAATAAATTTTATAATTATTTTTTATTGTATTTAATCAGTTTATTCAATTTGAAATTTGAAATTTTATAAAATCATCCATTTTGTTTTATAAATAAAATACTTTTTTAATTTTCATTTTTTTTATAAATAGTTTATATTTAAAATATAAAATGTTATATAAATTTAAAAGTACATACAATTGTTGGTTTAACATTTTATTCAATATAAAAACGACCAAGAATTATATTCTTAATAGCGCTACGCCTCTGTCTGTCTGTAATATAAATTCTGACAAAGTTGTTATACCCTAAAATATATTTGAAATGGCAATGATAGACTAATTCCAGATAGAACTTCATTTCAGAAGTATTTTTTAATATTGTTTACTGACTGCCTATTTTATTTATTTTTTTTATTTTTTGACTATTTTTTTTATATTTACCTCTCCCATCTGTCCAGTGTTATCAAACGCCCAATCGTAAATCGTATGCGAACATTGCTCAATAACAGCTTAGACAGACAAGAAGGAAACAAGTCTGGCTATTAATTAGCCATTTGCACGCCATTTCAATGCCAGTGCAGCAGCTCTTGTCATCAATAGCTAGTCGAGCTGTCACGCCTCCCTTATTAGCTCCCTGCCATACATACACACAAATACACACACACTCACATGTCAGTTGCAAAAGTTATGGTCGGCATGCACAACGTGCATGTCATACATTTAATTTTTGAAGTCCGGTTCAGGCAGCTGCAGCGGCGTTTGTAGGCGCAGCTGTAATGGCAGCGGCGGCGGCGCACAGTGCGTATGAGTGACATTTAATTAGTACGACATAAGCGTTGCCATAAAGTACACTTCGAATTGTATTTATTTGCAAACAAACATGGCGACAAAGGACACACCTACAAACACACATACAGCCCATTTCACATTCCCTCATGCCCCCCCCTCTCTCTCTCTCTCCTTTCCTCTGTCACTTTTGCTGTACATTGAGCTGAGCAGCAGGCGCAACTTTTGTGCTTGGCTGTTTCGGGTATTTACACACACTTCACACCGACAAGCACACACACTCACACGCACACACACATATACACACACATACTCCTATAAGAGCGCGCACTTGTACAAAGTGTAAGACATTTATAAGCAAATATTTATAACGCGCGCCTTGCACTGACGCGAACAAGGAGCTGCAGAAGTGGAAGACAAGCAGGGAACGGGGGACTGGGTGGGGGAAACTGCAAAACAAAATAATTACAACATAAATTAAGCAAAATAGCCGCAGACGCGTAAATGTTACTTCGTGACTTCTGACTGAGCGTGTGTGTGTGTGTTTAGGCCTGGAGGGGGGAATGGTAGGTAAACATATGCTGCATGAGATTTGTAATAAAGTGAATTTCAGGTAATCCAAGTGACAGTACACACAGGCACATTAAAACTAACAGAAGCTGTCTTATATTAGTAGAAGAGTCAAGGGGATAAATGTGATATGAAGAGATCCAAAGAGATAAACTTAATATCTAGCTATGAAATTAAGTTTTCTTGAGATGAATTTATGATTTCAACACATAATAAACAACAGAAAACTAATACTGAACTAACTCGTCTACGGACCAATTTCAATCCAACCAATTATAAACAGTCTAACTATCAAACCAATT